ATATTTTCAAAAACGAAATTTTTGTTTGATATTGAAGATATTGTGTCATACGTGTTAATAACTTGCGAAAACAGCCTCCTTCGCTAAGAAGGACGGCTGTTTTCGCAGGCTAACGTGTTAATTAATTCATTGTAAAACTTAAGCAATATATAAAAGGTCTTATCACCGTTTTCAACGCCATCTTGACGGGTAGGCAAAGCGATCAGAAATTACAGTTTTTGTATGGGAATCCGGCAAAATGGCAAATAACTCTTTTTAAATTTGAATTTTACAGAATTCGTTAAATATAAATACTAGGTAGGAGATTGTATTCACTAAGTTTGAAGGATGTGACTTAATTGAAGATGCTTGGTTAACTTTTCTAATTTTCCATACATTTGTCTGTAAATTTGGCTGGGTTTACGCCGTTCGCGGGAAAAAAATATACGGACAAATGTATGAGATGAAAAGTAATTATTAACTGCTATTGCTTGCACTCTTCCAAAAAGCTATCTGTCATCAGTCTGTCAACGTGAGCTAACATTAACATTATCAGTTTATTGACTTGGAACTAGTTTTCTGAATCACCAAAGGCACAGAGTTTTCTCAACTACCACACGAGAAACGTTGTCTAGCTAGGACCGATGGCTGCTCAATGTTGGTTGTTGAACAAACGCCTTGATTTATGTAAAATTCGCATTTCCAGTCAAAACCTTTCGGAAACCGCTCAAAATTCCTGCACGATTCTTGGCGAACAACATTTTGGCACATTCGGTGAAAGCTACGCCTGGTTAATTATTATATATAGCGCTATGTTTCTGTTCCTAAACTCGTATTTTTAACTCGAAATGTTAATTCAATGACGCGGAATCAATTATAAACTGTAAAAAGCAGTTATTTTAATTTAAATTCGGGTTTTGAGTGAAAATCGATTGAAACTAATCGAGTAAATCTCGAGGTGTTTCGGTCTAACTTCGTGATTGCTCCGAAAGCTTCCGAAAAGTCAGCTATTATCTTACTTACTTTTTAAAAGAGCTGGACAGGAAAAGTCTCTTCTATCTGCTTATTTTAAGTTCACTTCGAAAGGAAGTCATTTCTCTGCATGACTGACTCACATGAGGCGCCATGGCTGCTGGCAAAAACTGCATTCCAACACGCTCGAAAGTCGTTTCTCGAAATGGAAATATCTTTCAAAGCGCCGAACAGTAAGAATTTACTTCCCTTTTCCTTAGCTGAGGAATTGCATTCTGAAAATCCGAGTGAAAGTTTTTTTTTGCATATTTAGTTAACAAAACTAAATTGTACATTGTCCTGCGTCAGTTACTATCACACTTGCAAAACCGTGAACTCCTAAAATTTGTCTGGAATGTTTCCCCGATTATGGCTCCTGGCTCTAACCAATCACAAGCGAGATCGAGGCGGGTTAACCAACTTTAAGACGTTTACATGGCACAATGCGACCCCGGCTGACAGGGTAACCCTGGGCAACCGATCTAGGCGGGTTGCCCCACCTATCATGTAAACATGATCAAATTGAAATGACAGAGGCGGGTTACCCCAACGAGGCGGGTTACTTTACCTTCCCGGAGTCCCCTTCCTCTGTGTAAACAGGCCTTTCAAAGACGCTGGAATTTGGAACAAACGTAAACTGAGCTTAATTAATTTAAATTAAACCGTGATTACATTTTTCCTGCTCAGCATAGTTACTCAACATGGACGAAGTGGAGATAAACGGTCTGCGAGTTCGCAGTGAAGTAGGTTTCAGTCCTCACGAGCTGGGAAAACTCCAAGAAATTAGCATTACCATTCGTCTGCGGTCATCCATCAAGAAAGCCGGCGAGACCGATCGTGTAGAAGACACCATCAACAACAAGACCATCTCAAAAGAAGTTCTCTTCCACGTCGAGAACAAGAAATACAACATCATTGAAGCAGTAGCAACCGATGTAGCGCGTATCTGCGTGGTGCGTCACGGCGCGTCGTCCGTAAAAGTCACCGTCGCAAAACCTAACGCGTTACGCTTTTGCGAGAGCTCGTCTGTGACCATTGAACGGCGCTGGGAAGACTTTGATTGGAATGAAGTTCACATATCGATGGGATCCAACATTGAACCTGGCAAGAATTTGCCACTGGCCATTAGTTTGTTACAAGAGAAAACAGAGCTGGTGAAGTTGTCACAAGCTTTTAGGACCACGCCCGTGGGGTTCAGAGAGCAGGTGGATTTTCTCAATATGTCCGTTGTCGTGAGGACTAAACTTGATCCAGCTGGGTAAGTATATATCCATCACGAAAGACCGCGTTTGACCACACTTTCTAACACCGAGAAGAGAGTTGAACACACGTCTCGTATACCTTCTCAATCGAAAAACATGACATGACATAACACTGCATGAAAGTACTGCTCAATGACTTTCATGTGAATGGTCACACACAAGGGTTTTAACCACAGAGCTATAACTTAGAACCCCCTTGTACATCATAATAAACAGTACCACATGAAAGTACTGCTCAATAGCTTTCATTTGAATGGTCACACACTAGGGTTTCATCCGCAGACGTTAAAGTTAGAACCACCTTGTACAGCATAATAAACAGTACCACATGGAAGCACTGCTCAGTAGCTTTCATTTTAATGATCACACACAAGCGTTTTTTCATTCGAATGGTCACACACTACGGTTTCGTTTACAGACCTACGTCAGAACTGCCTTGTATAGCATAAGGTTACTATTGAGAGTTTCCCCTTGATGGCTTTGATGTGTTCAAAAACTAATGAACTTTGACCTTGTTTTTCATGATCAGATTAAAGCAAGTTTTAAGTCAAGTGGAACACAAACTTGGTCGAGTTCGAGACCAAGACAATAAGAACGCTCCCAGGACAATTGATCTGGACATTTCGTTTTGGGGTAACATGACGTGTGAATACAAACTGAGCGACGGCTGTGCTGTAAAATCGTGGTCGATTCCTGATCCAGACACGCACAAGCATGCTCACGTGATCATACCTCTAGCTGACGTCACACCGGAGTTCATTCATCCATCCGTGAAAAAGCCATTGAAAGTGATCGCAAGGGAAGTGAGTGGTAAAGACGACTTCCGCTCTTTCTTTCCTGTCAATCAACTGTATTTAGCCAATGGAGTTCACGCATTGACGAGTAAAGAAACTTCCGCCAAGAAGCCGTTCACTCACCTGGTACATTTAAATGGGTTTTCTGAAGACGCTGCATGTCCTGTTGCCCTGGTGACAGGCGCGGCGAAGCGACTTGGGGCGTGTATTGCCAAACGATTACATGAAATAGGATACAACATTCTGGTACACTGCAACAAATCAATAACTGAAGCCAGAGATCTAGTACAGCAGATGAACAGGTAAACTGAAATTTTAGCGCTTTTCATATGTTGGTTAAACACTCATAAAGTTTTGAAAATAATGTCGAGATGGTTTGCCATTGTTTGGGTGTCGCGTAATAGTAGATTGTAGGTCCGTGCGTGACAGTTAGCTTGTGGTCTAACTGGCCGTCTTTCTACTTATAAAATCTCAATGAATCATGCGACTTCTTATATACACAAAAACCGATACAAGAATGAATAAATTAACGCAGTGAATGATGAACAAGGGAAGAGACATACCAAGCGGGTTATTCCTCTGTTAATTGTTGCAGTGTACGTTCAAATTCAGCCCGACAAATCCAAGGTGATTTCCGACAACACACTCAGAAAACCTCGGAGAAGGTTATTGAAGAGGCGTTAAAGGCCTGGGGGCGACTGGACCTGTTAGTAAACAACGCGTCTGAATTCCATCCGACCGAAGTTGGAAAAATAACCCACGAGGAGTGGAATGGACTCATGGAAACAAACTTATGCGCTCCATTCTTCTTATCACAGGTGAATGTGGCGAATTTTTGTGTTTTTTTTTTTTTTTTAATTTTGCTCTGCAGATGTAAGAAACATCATGTTTCAATTTTAGCTACGCAAAGTTGCTCTCTTTTCTCTGGTCTGGTCATTTATTTGTCTGGTCATTCATTTTTATTTGTCATTTCATTTATTTGTAGTCTAATTATATTATATAGCGTATTTAATTCTTAGGATTTTAACTTTCAGGATTTAGGATTTTAAGTTTTTAAAGGATTAGGATTTTAATTTTAGGATTTAAAACTTAGGATTTTAATTTTAAAGTATTGTAAAGCGCCAGGGACAATTAGTGGAAAATGGCGCTATATAAATGTATATTTATTTATTTATTTATTT